TATCAGCCTCCTGTACTTCCTGATCAGTGAACATGACATTCCAGGGGCAGCCAGGTACCAGTAGGCTAGGCTTGCTTGGCTTACAGAAAATGGGACTGCTATAGGTGACTCTACGCTAAGCTATATATTCAATGACCACTCATTTAGAGGCAATGATTGCAGTACATTGGTTTTTATTTAATTAGTTGATTTGTGTGATATACAAGATAAAATGTCCAGTATATATTCAGACAAAAAAGTGAAAGTCTCACACGTGTAGTATCACCATACTCAGCAGGGAGTAGCAGAATGTGTTTTGGGTTGTAATTCTAAGTGTGCCCACACTGTGGTAGAAGTATCTTATTAATTTACAACTTTGTGTAAAAAAAATAAATAAATAATTTTCTTTCTGCATTTCCCAAAAATGTGTGGCAAAAAATGAAGTCTTCAAAAGGCTCAGCATGTCTCTTAAAAAACACCTTGGGGTGTTTGCTTTCAAAAATGTGGCAATTTTGTAGGCTTTTTTTATGGTCCTGGTGCTCCAGGGCTTTCAAAAATGTGACAGGGAATTGAGGAAATTAGATACATAATGGGTTTCCCTTGAACACCTGTAGGTGCTCCTTGGATTTTGGGCTCCTCTCTGTGGCTAGGCTGAGTCTCAAACATGTGATATAGCCATACACAGAAATAGTAGTAGAATGTGGTTTGGGGTAGAATTCTAAGTATGCCTATGATATGTGTTATAAATATCATAATAATTGAGAACTTGGTATAAAAAAATACATTTTCTTTCAGAATATTCCAATAACGTTTTCAATGACATTTTCAAAATGCTCTAGAAATCTATGCATTTCAGAAAATACCATGGAGTGTTTGCTTTCCAAAATGGTGTCGTTTTGTAGGTGTGTTTACTGTCCTGGTGCTTCAGGGCCTCCAAAAATGTTTTAGGTAGACAGGAAATTAGATGCATAAATTATGCTCCGTGAAAGCCCAAAGGTGCTCCTTAGATTTTGGGCCCCTCTATGCATCTAGGCTATGAAAAAGTCTTACATGTGGTATCCCTATACTCAGGAGACAGCAGAATGTGTTTGATGTGTAATTGCTTTCACAGAGACTAAATAATATACACTAATTTGGGTTATTTTTTACTAAGGAAATGTAGCGAAATACACTTTGAAAATTAATTGTTTTCTTCACAAATTTAGGCCAAACTTTTATAATAAAAACTAGGAAAAACATGTTTTTCCTCAAAATTTTCGGTATTTATCACATATATAGCAAACAAAAAACAAACAAAAAAAACAGTGGTGATTACACCAAATGAAAGTTGTGTCTCAAAAAAAAGATATAAATTTCATTTGTTTACAGTGTTGCATAACTGAGTAATTGTCAAAGTGTGACAGCATTGAAAGCTAAAAATTGGCCTGGGCAAGAAAGGGGTTAAAGTGCCTGGTATTAAAGTGGTAAAGTTGTATCCACATTGCACTACATAATTGCACTGAAAGTCTGATCAAAATCATATTGTAGCATTGTGAACCTAGCCTAAGTGAATGTAAGCAATAAAGGGTCAAAAGAGTCCTAGTTTTTTTTACATATTAAAAAAATACCACCTTTATGAGCAGGAGGTATTTTGTTCCTGCATAGCTACAATGACTCTAGCTAGAAGGCTTTACCCCAATTTTACTTTTTCACAGACAGATACAAACACATAGTATGGTGACCTATCTCTCCCTGTTCAATGACAGCAAAGAGTACAAGGAGATTGTTTTTTTTTTTTTATTTAACTTTTTATTTATTTTCCATATATAATACATATTTCATCATTATTCTCATACAAAAACCATTTCCATATCATTAACCACTTGCCTACCAGGCACTTATACCCCTTTCCTTACCAGGCCAAGTTTCAGCTTTCAGCGCTGCCGCACTTTGATTGACAATTGCGCGGACATGCAACATTGTACCCATATGAAATTTTGATCATTTTTTTCTCACAAATAGAGCTTTTTGGTGGTATTTAATTGCCACTGGGCGCTTTACTTTTTGCGCTATAAATAAAAAAAGTGCAAAAAATTTGAAAAAAAAGAATTTTCTTTGTTTCTATTATAAAGTTTTTCTAACAGGTAATTTTTCTCCTTCGCTGATGTGCGTTGATGAGGCAGCACTGATGGGCACTGATAGGCAGTACTAATGAGGTGGCACGGATAGGCGGCACTGATAGACAGCACTAATGAGGTGTCACGGATAGGCGGCACTAATATGCAGCACTGATAGGCGGCACTGATAGGTGACACTGATGATGGGTACTGATAGCCGGCACTGACTGGCATCACTGCTGGGCACTGACTGGCGGCATTGACTGGCACAACCCCTGGGCACTGACTGGTGGCACTGACTGGCAGCACTGCTGGGCTGCACTGGTGGGTGGCACTGGTGGGTGGGCACAGGTGGGCGGCACTTCTGGGCACAGGTAGGTGGCACTTCTGGGCACAGGTGTGTGACACTGCAGAGTAACACAGGTGGGTGCACTGCTGGGCACAGGTGGGTGCACTGCTGGGCACAGGTGGGCAGAGCTAGTGGGCGCACTGCTGGGCACAGGTGGGCAGAACTTGCGGGTGGCACTGCTGGGGCACCGATCATCAGGGCACTGATCATCAGTGTCCTGATAATCGGTGCCGATCCCCGCTGTGACAACTGCCGGTTCTCGGCAGTACTTTCCTCACGATCTGACAGCGTGAAGAAAGTGCAGCCGAGAACCGGCACTTGCATTTCCCTGTGATCAGTGTGTCATTGGACACCGCTGATCACGTGGTAAAAGGCCGCTGGGATTGGCCTTTTACCACATCACATGATCAGCTGTGTCCGTAGGACACAGCGATCACGGAGATCGCCGGGTGCGCGCCCGCTGGGGCGCGCAGGAGAGCGCGTTCTGGGGGGACGTCATATGACGTCCACCCAGAACTGGCCGGCCGCAGTGAAGCCGTCATTCGGCTATCTGCGGTCCGCAAGTAGTTAATAACATTTCTTACTATCTTTATTTCCATTTACCTCCCCCCCCTCTATCTAATTTCCCCTCCTCCCTAAATAAAACCTCCCTCCCCCCATGTAAACCCACCCACTCTTCATTGTTCTATTACCTCTTTTCCCAACTAGAATATATAAATCCTTCCATCTTTCTCACATTGCTACTTCATATATTTCACCATAAATTCTTCCCATTTTCTCCACCTCTTAGAGAACAACCCCATCCTGTCTTCCTGCATATAACACAATCTCTCCATCCTACATATTTGATTCGTTCTTTCCACCCAGTCCTCTATCTTCGGCACCTCTGGTCTATGCCAAAACTTAGGTATCAGACCCTTCGCCGCATTCAGGTAGCATCATATACCCGAGTCCTTATATTTATTTACTGATAACTCTGTACTATGTAGTAGACATACTTCTGGGTCCAGTCCTATCTTTATCCCAGAGATATTCTCAATTTGGAGTTGGACAATTATCTCCCAGAAACCTTGGATCTTCAGGCACTCCCACCATATATGATATAACGTGCCTATTTTTCCACAACCCCTCCAGCACTCTTGTAAATTTTCCCCACATATCTTATACTCAACCTTCGGTGTAATGTGCCATCTCGTTAAACACTTATAATTTACCTCCACCTCTCTAATACTTATATTCTCGTGTATTAATCTATAGATTTTCCTTTGTTTATCTTCATCTATCTCTATTCCCAAATCTCTTTCCCATTTTACTATATACATTGGCTTTGTGTAAGTGTCTAACTCAGTGAGGGTCTTATACATTTTTGCTGTACCCCGCCTCCCGTCACCTCGTGTTTCTAACAACCTCTCAAACAGATTCCAATCCTTTCTCGATCTCAACGGTTTTGGAAGGTTTTGTACAGGGAGATTGTATGCCAAACATTTTCTCAACATTGCTTTGTGAGGTTATCACTACCAATAGCTATGAAACAATGTCTTCAGCAATGAGATCATTCCATGTGTAAGGATTGGGCCTTTTAGGAGTACCTGTTATTGTTTTAAGGTTCTTCTGACTAGTCAGGAAATCTGTGTGCAACCTGGCCCTTCTATCACTCTTCTCAACCTCTTCCCAATAAATAACGATAGGCAAAAACTTTTTTTCCCCATTTTGGATAGAGTACGGGAGGGGTATAACCCCCGTCACTTTATTTTTTGCCATCTGTGTCCCATTTGGGAAAATTTACCTTCACTTCTCTACAAATTAAGGGAAATCCTTTGGAACCCCCAGCTCACCAGAAATACTGTCCCCATTGGAAAATGTCCCATTACTTTTCAGGGGACAACCCAAAATGTGTTTTCTTTTACATTCACTTTCGATGAGAATAATAAAACAGGTCAAATAGAGATAGTGAATCTCCATAATGGAGGGACATACTACAATAAAAACCTAAAAGGTGTTCTAATCCATTTCTACTCTGTTCAAAACTGAACAAAATTGCCTTTAGTTATACATCAGTTATACTTTAAAACGTTGAGTAGCCTATTTAACCTAACAGTCACACAGAGTCGAGCAAGCTCATATCTCAGTGCGGGGTCAGCTGCTCCCACCATTGGCTTTCCAGTGTAGCTACTCTTAAGAGTTAGCACTGTACATTGGAAGTCAGAGAAGGGTCAAGAATGATATGTAGCTGGAGGATCACTTCAGAGAAATACATGAATAATCATTTGGTACTATTACAATTACGAATTTTTTTATTTTTCGATCTTATTTTTCATTATTGGTAATAACAGGGGAGAGGCAAAACAAGCAATAAGAATACACAGTGAATGCTGATTGTGCATTTCTCATTAAAAGACACACAGTTATTTTTAAAAGGTCTACCTCACAGAGACATAGTAAGGGGTAAAAAAGATTCCACATTCGGCACAAGTACTAGATACATTGAGCACATTTTACACTAAATATGAAGAAAAAAAGGTTACACATAAACAAGGTAAGATAATAAGAATGGAGACAACATACTGGTTGCTCACCTTGTAGGCAAACTGCAATTGTGAAGTCCATGACCCAGCTGACAAGAGCCATCACCAAGCCCAGAAGAATAAGGAATATCCAGTCTTCCCCAATATGAGACAGCAGAAGTCTCTGAATGTGCACGCAACAGACTGAAAAAAGCAAAAGCTGCTAAAAAATCAGAAAACAGACTACAAAAACAGTAACTTTGTGGGTGAGAAGGCAGCAGATAAGATTGGGAAAAGTGCAAAAATATTGAAATAGATATAGGAATGCAAAAAGGTGATTAAAATCTATCCCTCGTTTATAACATACAAAATTCTTATAGGCTCCATGCACACTGTACTCCAAAGGACGCTTAGGAGAAAAGCAGCTGGAAAAATGCAGTGCAAGCAGCTTATGTGTCTTCGCATGTTTGATGTTAATGCATTTAATTGGCCAGAATCTTATTCTGGCCGTTAGAATGTAGTGACACATGGACATGCATAAATTCGTGTGCGAACGCGCGTTTATGATTTTTTTTTTTTTTTCCTCAGCAAAAATGCACCTCTTCAAAAAGTGCAAGTGACTTTTTTTTGCCTCAAAACGCTCCTGCTTCTAAGCACCTGTAAATGCCTGTGTGTGCATGGACACATAGGCTAGCATGAAAGGACATTTAGAGGCAGAGGAAAAAAAAAAAAAAGTCAAAACACCTGCAGCAGGTGAGCTGCAGTGTGCATGAGACCATATAGTCAAAGGCAACAAAAGAGGGCCTGTAGCCTTTGCCAAATCGTGCCTCTTTTACACCATCTTTTCCTTGGCATAGAATATTACTGCTTGCAACACACATCATTAACAGCGAGTACATGCCATGATCTTCATAATGCTATTCAGTTGGTGCTCAGCAAAACTGTTATGTAAGTGCAAAGGGAACAGTATAGAAAGAAATCAGTAAGAAGACCACAGCCAAAACCATTCCGGGAGAGGCAAGCTTGCCTTGTTATAGTTGTGCAGTTCATGTGCCAGAAAGTAGTAAATGCAATGAAAGACTATAGCCTTGTGTTTTTCCTGAACTCAAAATTTGTTGAAGGAGCTGCTATCCTAATGTAATGTATATTTTTTATGTATTGGCGAAAATGCATAAAATTCAGCTTATATGGCTCATCCACATTATGTGGTCCATCAACTGTGCTAACTACCTACACTACAAGAATCATGCATCCTCAGGTAAATTGACTGAACTTGGTAAATGCAATATTTGTTGCTAAAGACATTGCAAAATATACTGGCCGAAAGAAAAAAAAAACATTTTTTGAATTTAGCTGTGTATTCATTGCTATTACCATAGCTTACCACCAAAAGACAACCCAAAATAAATTCTCCTGCTCCTGACAATGACAGCAATACCACATATATGTATATTATTTGTTTATACCTGTAGTATTGCCCAAAAACAATAGTGCACATTTTGCTTTCTTATGCTGCCTAAAACACACTGACACCAATTTAGAAAATGCTTTTATTTTTTATTTTTTTTATTTTTTTTTAAATCCTACCCAAAATATACTGCCCCTGACCTTTGACCCTTAACTTGACCTAACACTAACCCTGACACTGAGCTAGATCAAACCTTGATCCAGCGCTCTAATTTTTTTTTTTCTTAATACACACTTTTCTTTGCTGACATTTTCTCCACTGCAAGGAGAGAAAGAAACAAGATACAATGCATCTTTCTGTCCATTCAGAGGTGAAACAAAACACATGGGTGGGCTGCACAGTGACTGATCACTGTGATACCCAACCAGTGACTATCACATTGATCCAGCGATCGGGAACTGGCAGTTTCCAGTCCTGATCATTAGTACGAGATCAAGGATTCAGTGAGAGCCTGGTCTCTGTGCTGGGAGAAAGCTGTGCGGTGCACTCCACTCCCAGCTCAAAACACAGGTACACATATATGCTGTGTCACAGAAGACGACCCACTGCAGTGAGGCTGCATATTTGTGTACTGTCAGCACCAAGGGGTTAAAAATCCAAATCCTCAGCGAGTGGCTGGGAATTTAGATTTTACTGCCACCCTCCCCCCATCCCGGTGCCCTAAGAAACATCTAGAACTAACTTCAGCTCTTTTGTGAATTTATGATCAGTCGCTGCTGTCTCTTCATGTAATCCCAGATTATGTTGACATAATAACCTCTTTTAGAATTATATTTCTTCTTTTCGATAAAGTCCTTTATTACTTTGGCTGTATGTTTGACACCTAACTGATGGTACTGTATGATGGGTAAGTATCTGCCTGTACTTTTGACCATTGGAGAGGCCATTAAATCTGACCAAATCCACATGTTTAGAAATGCAGCCACAAACTTGCAGGGAACTTCCACCATACTTTAATGTAGCCTGCAGACATTTTCTGATGAACCAGCTGAAATTCACTTCTCGTAGCCCCTTCAGCCCATTCACTTTATTGGCAGCCCCATCCTGCCTGAAATTCTTTGACTAAAAAAAAAAAAAAAAAAAATCACAAAAGGAGCCAAGCAAAAAATTGTCAGCTAAACAGCAGCTGCATTCAAGCAGATGCATAAGCTGTTCAAGTATTCTGACTGCCGCTGCCAATAGTTGTCAGAATACTATAGCCCGTCAGCAGGGATGCAACCATCTGTGCAGTTAGCATGGACAAAGAAATGCCCATGGGCTGAACAAAAAATATTTTCTTGTGTGGTCAACTTAAAGTAGAACTAAAAAAACAAAAAAATCTTTTTTTTTTTAGTTTTGGACAGAGTAGAGAGGGATTAGAACACCTATTAGGTTTTTATTGCGGTCTGTGCCCTAGTTAGGGAGATTCACCCTCTCTATCAGTCCAATTTACCATTATCATTGAAAGTGAATGTAAAAGAAAATTCTAATTTTTGGGTTGTTGCCAGAAAAGTAATAGATGGGAAATCTTCCAATTGAATAACTAGTTCCGGTGACCTGGGGGTGCTCCAAGAGAATTCTCTTCATTTGCAGGGATTTCCACTCCCCTCCTGTTTGGCTATGGGACAGGAAGTGAAGGTATATCTCCCCTAAGGGACAAAGATAGCAAAACAACTGACAGGGCTATTAACTTCCCTTATGCAACCCAGAATGAAATAAATAGTATTGCCTATAGTTCCACTTCAAGTCTTCTGGGCCAACCATTGCATTTTCAGTCCTCACCGTTGCCTGTGTCTTTATGCTTCTGTAGATGAGCTTAAACAGCACATCTGGAAACACCGGAGTTCCTTATTATTTCTGCCTGTGAGAGACTTCTCCTGTCTGCAAGTGATCCCACAATCCTGGTGCTGTCAGCTTAACATCAATCAACGTGCACCCACCGCACACGTGATAATAGATGGACCCTCACCTGAAGGCATTGACCTAAAAATTATAATAGGTCAATGGACACAACTCCCCTCCCCAAGGGGTAACTGTAATAGGTATTCATTCCCCTGGTCTCCAGGTCTCTGTTATTTCCAGTGGTAATATGGGATACTGGTATCTTCCAACCTCCACGGTACTGCTGTACAGTTGTGTTGATTCTGTAGGATCAACTTAGAACCACAGAGAAGCCACCATAGTGTCGTAACTTATACAACCATAATACGTTTTATTAAATTACACTCACGTAGAAACACCAGTAATTCGCATGTACACAGACATATACCCCGGATAATAACACATTAGAATCTGCCCTCACCTCCGGTAACCTGGCTCAGACGTCACCTGGCTCCTCCCCACGCGTATTGTCACGAGGTCACGTGACTTCATCAGGCATAGCTAGGTGACATGCATGACTTGTTTATATGGGCACTAATCTTAGCAAATCTCAGCGGTCCTCTGCAACTAATACTATCGTGATTGATTCCTTCTCACTATTGCCATCTACAGGTGTAAAAGGAGAATATGATTGGATGCCTAATTTTTATTGCCTATGCCCGATCTGGTATACAGCAGACGCCCATACTTGTAGCAAACTGAAGATTTAATGTGGCAACTTTTCCACTAAAAAAAACAGGGACCTGTAATCTCTATGCCATTATGCCACTATATAACATCATTAACATCCATGTTTTAGAATGTTATCGATATGTAGTGGCATAATTACTGGGAGATTATAGGTCCCCGTTTTTAAGTGGAAAAGTTGCCATATTTTTTTTAAAATGTACAACAAATTGCTACAAGTATGGGAATCCACTGTATACCAGACCAGGCATAGGCGATAAAAGATTACACATCCAATCAAATTCTCCTTTTACAACTGTAGATGGCAATTAGTGAAAAGGAATCAATCACAAAATAGTATTAATTGCAGAGAACAGCTGAGATTCTATGAGAGTGGTGTTCATATAAAAACAAGTCACGCAGGTCACCTGGCTAGCCCTGATGAAGTCACATGACTGTGTGGGAAGGAGCCAGGTGATGGAGAATGCTGGTGTGTTACGATCTGGAGTATATGTCTGCCTACATGACAGTTACTACTGTTTGTATGGGAGTGTAATTTTAATAAAACGTAAATTTGGTTTTAAGTTACTACACTATGGTGGCTTCTCTCTGTGGTTCTGAGTTGATCCTACGGAATCAACACAACAGGTACAGCAGTACAGTGGAGGTTGGAAAATACCAAAATCCCATATTACCACTAGAAATAACAGAATAAGAGACCAGGGGAATACCTATATACAATTACCTCCGGGGGAGGGGAGTCGTGTCCATTGACCAATTATAATATGTAGGTCAATGCCTTAAGTGAGGGTCCATCTATTATCACGTGTATGGTGGTGTGCATTGGTTGATGTTTACATCACAGCATCAGGATTGTGGGATCACTTGCAGACAGGAAGTCAAATTCAAAGAATTTCTTCTTTGAACGGTCTTGAAACATACATATATAGAAGAGACTATTACTATTATTCTTTGATGGACTATTTATGATTTATATGAGTTTATAGCACAGATAATTCATCACTGTTTTTGATTTTACACTTACATTGTATTTAGCAGTGCAACACATACACTTTACATACAGATTTGTTTTGCATGTGATGAGCACACATTTTTGTGTTTGAAGCAGCCCCATTTAGCATTTTTCATCATTCTTTTGGCAGCACACAATATTTTTCTTAACATTTCACAATTTGTGTTTTAATCTACATTAACACCTACTGTATGTGGCATAACTGTTAATCATGTACTGGACCATATGCCTGCAAAATCCTTAAATGTGTGCAAGTGTACCTGGCAAAATTGATGCCATTTTAAAGCCAAAAGGATGGACACATTAAGTATTACCTTGTTTAAACTTTTTTTTGTTAATGCACTTTGTGGGATGTTAATGGATGTATAAAATACATTGTTTTAAAAGTGCCTAAAACATTTGCACATTACTGCAAATACCAGACCAGGCATTTGGTACACCGTCCTCCTTTATTCAGTTAAGTAAATTTACTAGATAAAGTATCCCTTACTATACATGACTTCTAGCATAAGGGTATTAGGGTTTCTACACAGTGTAAGGAGCTAGTAGCCCCAAAAACAAAATAGAGCTTTCTGAAGCCACACTGCTGTCACTTGATTTCAGTGTATCACATAAGTAGCCTTCTTTCCTTTGACTTTCCAAACTAATATAGTTTTAACCCTCATGCCCTTGTAAATTGTAATTAACATTCAATTACATTTCTCTGGGCTTCAAAGATGTTCATTAGGAGAAATAAAATGGGAAGGTTTATACAAAAACACATGATATTTACACAACATTGAAACAATGAGATTAAAAAGAAAGACTTTCTTTGAGCACAATTTGATGCTGCTGACAAAGCCTCTGCATTTATTGAATCCAATATTAATTAAAACACTGAGGGCTGGTTCACACCATAGAAACGCATTCTGGATGCGTTTATTCATGCATGTTTTTAATGTGTTACAGTGCGTTCTGGTTAATTTTTTTCCCTCTCTTTTTCTTCAATTGATATAGGGACATGTGTGTTCCAGTGCGTTTGTTGGTGCGTTTCAGTACAGTTCTGTGCAGGAAAAATGCAGCCTGTTGTACTTTTTTTTTTTTTTTCTGCAACCGGAACGCACTGGCAATGCAAGCACGGATGTGAACGATGACACTGGCAACCATGTAACCTACTTTCTGTGCATTTTGGATGCAGAAAAAAAGCACACTGAAAACACACGTAGTGTGAACTGGCCCTAAAATAAACATTAAAGAAAGGGAGTGGAAACATAATACACCCATTTTCAGCATAAAAATGAGTTAAATGTAGGCATATCTATACTTAAATTGTGCTAGACAAATTGGATTAGATACAAGCAAGGTAAATAAAAGCCAATATTTGGTGTGTATCCCTCAAGGTTGGAAATAAAATCAAAAAAGTAACACCTACACTAGAACTAGTAGAACAAATTCAGGTACTCGCTGCAGTAATATGCACTTTTAATAAACATATATATGACTAGATTCAATTGTGTTTTCTATACATCCGCCTAGAGTTCAATTTTAGAAGCTTCTCGTCAGTTAAGTATCTAAAATTTTGAAAATGTGATGTTGACATGGTTGACCACATCTAGCATACATACTTCTACACTTGGCACAACGGCTCTCATCATATTCTTTTAGCTCCGCTACCCGTGGCTGATCACCTTTGCCTGGTTTGCGGCGTTCAATTTCTTTTCGAATACGAGCAGCCTCCTCTTTGGCGAAAACTCCCAGGTCCTGAGTGTAGCGTCCATACATCTGAAAAAGTGTGCAAACATGAAAATTAAAGCATTATCATATATAACAATGACACCACAAAACAACTTATCCACGCCTTGGTTATATCCCGCCTCGATTACTGCAACTCCCTCCTCACTGGTCTACAGTTACACAGGCTATCCCCCCCTTCAGTCTATTATGAATGCTGCTACTAGACTCATACACCTTACCAACCGATCAGCGACTGCTGCCCCTCTCTGCCAATCCCTCCACTGGCTTCCACTAACCCAACGTATAAAATTCAAAATACTAACCACAGCTTACAAAGCCATCCACAAAACTGCCCCTAGCTACGTCACCAACCTCATCCACAGATACCGCCCAAATCGCCCACTCCGCTCCTCCCATGATATCCTCCTCTCTAGCTCCCTCATCACCTCCTCCCACGCTCGCCTCCAGGCTTCTCCAGAGCCTCTCCCATCCTCTGGAACTCCCTACCACAGCATGTCCGGTCAGCCCCCACCCTGTCTGCCTTTAGGCGATCTTTGAAAGCTCATTTCTTCAGGGAAGCCTACCCCACCTCCACCTTAGAACTGTACTTTAATCACCTCTGCCAGATCATCCCCCACAGTTATCACCTTTTGTATCACCTCCACCTTCCTTTAGATTGTAAGCTCCACGAGCAGGGCCCTCACATTCCTTCTGTACTGAAATGTATTGTAATTGTACTGTCTCCCTTATATTGCAAAGCGCTGCGCAAACTGTTGGCGCTATATAAATCCTGTATAATAATAATAACAACTCTTCACTCAGAATGTATCTCCTTCCGAACGTGGTTCACATTTAAAATATTAAATAGAAATGTGTCCATAGTCCATGTCACAAACAAAGCCTTCTAAAGTCTATCACATACAGAAAAATATGTATGTTTATTGGAGATAAAGAAATCCAGCTTGTACAAGAAAGAAAGTACATCTGCTAACTGCCAGTGCTTACTATTAACTTCGATAATTTCTCACATTCTGTGTGCAAAAACCATAGAAAGAAGTCTCAATGTTGTTAACATGCCGCTTCTCAGTGTCACTCGCAAGGAAACAAGGGTAATATAGGGTTTGTTGGTAAAGAAGGGTCAGAGTCTAATGGAATCACTTCTGAAAAGAAGGATCATTGATCACTTAAAAATGCACAACTTGCTGAACCCCAAGCATGGCTTTACTAAGGGCAGATCGTGTCAAACTGATTGAATTATTTGACTATATCACTAATGTTTTGGACCAGAGTGGTGCTATGAACATAGCATATCTTGATTTCAGCAAGGCATTTTATATAGTTCCATATAATGATCTAATACAAAAGTTGTACAAGCTAGGGCTTAAAGTGGAAGTAAAGGAAAAAAACGTAACCAACTCTAAACCTTCTCTCAGCCACATTCTAAGCCTAATCAATTTATCACTCTAAAGGGAAAAAAAAAAAAAAAAAATCTGCAGCCGCTCCGGTCCCAGGCTGAGCTGTTAGAGGCAGCTTCAGTGTGTAGGAGGAGCAGCCAACAACATAAGCCTCATATTAACTCTATTGGTGACATCACTTCCCAGGCATTTCCCAGCCATTTTCGGCTGTCTCCTGCACACAGGGGGCGCTGCTGGAGACAGAACTGGAGCAGATGAAGAATAGGCAAGTACGGCGATTTTTTCTTTACAGTGCTAGATAGATTAGGCTTAGAATGCGACTGAGAGTCGGTTTAGAGTAAGTTAGGCTTTGCCTTTATTTCCACTTTAACCCTTAGGTGGTTCAGTTGATATGCAGTTGGCTAAAGGATAAACTACCAGAGTGTGCATGTAAATGGGGTTCATTCAGAACAGCGACTAGTCACAAGTGGTGTACCACAAGGCTCTGTACTAGTTCATTTTATATTTAATCTATATGTAAGTAATATAGCTAAAGGTTTGTTGGGCAAGGTATGTGTTTTGGCTGATGACACAAAGGTGTGTAAAAGGGCTGATATCCCTGGAGGTGTCTAACATGGAACAAGGATTGGCATTGCTGGAAGTATGGTCAGAGCAGTGCAAACTTCAGTTCCATGTTTATACATTTAAAATAATTCACCTAGGGACAAAGAATCCCTTGACCGATTACAACATTGGGGGTATAGTGTTGGTCAGCACTACAGAGGAAAGAGATTTGGGAGTACGTATCTCAGATGATTGCAAAATCAGCAAACAGTGTTGCCAGGTAGTGGAAAAAGTAAACAGAGTTCTAGGATGCATCACTAGAGGGGTCACCAGTAAGAGGAAGGAGGTCCTAATTCCCCTATATACACAGTATCTCACAGACGTGAGTACACCCCTCACATTTTTGTAAATATTTTATTCTATCTTTTCATGTGACAACACTGAAGAAATGACACTTTGCTACAATGTAAAGTAGTGAGTGTACAGCTTGTATAACAGTGTAAATTTGCTGTCACCTCAAAATAACACAACCATTATTGTCTAAACCGCTGGCAACAAAAGTGAGTACTCCCCTAAGTGAAAATGTCCAAACTGAGCCCAATTAGCCATTTTCCCTCCCCACTGTCATGTGACTTGTTAGTGTTACAAGGTCTCAGGTGTGAATGGGGAGCAGGTGTGTTAAATTTGGTGTTATCCCTCGCATTCTCTCTTGCTGGTCACTGGAAATTCAACATGGCACCTCATGGCAAAGAATTCTCTGAGGATCTGAAAAAAAGAATTGTTCTACATAAAGATGGCCTAGGCCAAGGAATGTCAAACTCTATTCCGTGGGCTGTATCAGCATTATGGTTGCCCTCAAAGGGCCGGTTGTATCTATAAGACTAGATGTCCAGAGCACCCCACCCCCCATTACATCAGATGCCATCCTGACCAGTCAGTCCTTCAGCCCTGACACAGTGTCGGCCAATATCTCTATGATCCCAAAGCCCAATTCAGATGATTCCGTATGGTCCAACTACAGACCCATTTTCCTCCTCAATATCGATATTAAACTCCTCGCAAAAATCCTCTCCACCCGTCTTAACCGTTTATAGGTTCTCTCATTCACAACGACCAAGTAGGCTTTATACCCACTCGCCAAGCGGGCGATAATGCTCAATGTGCAGTCCTCCTCACCTATTTAGCCAGCTCTTGCAACATCCACACTTGCTTCTTGTCCTTAGATATTAGGAAAGCTTTCGACGCAGTCTCGTGGTCCTAGCGTGACATGGATTTCCTCTTTATATTGTGCACCATCGGCTAGAGTCAGATAGTTGGGGCATAAATCAGCATCGTTAGCAATCCTACATGGCACCCGTCAAGGTTGCCCACTCTTTCCCTTGCTTTTTGCCCTAGATATAGAGCCCTTGGCCCCCCTGATAAGATTTAATCCAGATATACGAGGACTTGAATTAGGAGACTCCCACCACAAGCATTGCCTCTTTGTGGACGACGTGCTCCTCTTTCTCACCTCTCCATTGACCTCCACTCCAACTCTTCTTTGGGTCCTCCAGTATTTTGGCAATATATCAGGCCTCCAGAAGTCGACTGCGCTTAATATCACCCTACCTCCCACGGACTTGGCACATCTGCAACAGGTTTTACCTTTCTCTTGGTCCCAGCACTCCATTCCTTTTTAGGCACTAAACTAACTCCTAGCTCATTGGACCTTTATACAGCCAACTATTTACCAATGTTAGCCCACCTTACCGGTCTCATGACAAAATGGTCCTCCTTATCATTGGCCTGGATAGGCAAGATCACTGTTGTAAAAATGTCAATTCTCCCCAAAATATTGTATTTGTTTAGCAAAGTGCAAATACAAAATATTGTATTTGCACACTTTCTCCATTTGCTACAACGACGAGTGTACTCATATCTTGGGTTCCACCCATCCTCATGTACCTCGCTCTACCATACAAAAATCTAAGCTCACAGGTGGCCTAGGTCTCCCGGACTTTACTAAATATTACCAAGCGGCGCATCTTGCACAATTACCCAAATATCACACCACTCATGAAATCCCCCAATAGGTCATCCTTGAATCGATTGATTGCGACCCCCTCTCAGTAGCCAACCTTCTATGGCTTCAACTTTCGGATCGCTGTCCGCTCCGCAACCCTATAACATCCCATAATATTTCACTCGGACAGACTAAAATCTCATTATTCCCTTCAGTCGCCGCATAACCCCCTACTCTCATACCTACGAAACCCAGCCTTCCCCCCCCAGCTTGGTCTTCACCACAATCCTTCAAACACTGGTCCTCAGCGAATCTGCTTTGTAGCTACCATTTTATAACCAATAGAGGCTTCAAATCCTTCCCTTCATGAGTTGCATTCTATACCAGCGTTGGAAATCTTTAGGTACCTCCAGTTACAGCATTTTTATGCTCCGCTGTCTGTCCATTCCCGCTCAGCTCGTTCAATGACTTCCTTTGAACGATCTAGATACCCGCATAGACAGGCCTCACTTCTGATATCTATAATCTTCTCTCTACTTCTGAGACCTCGCCCAACCTTATTTATGTCAATAGGTGGGAGAAAGACTTGGGACTCCAGCTGAGCCCTACAGACTGGGACCACATTTGGTCTGCTACCAAATCCTCCTCACAGAATGTGGTGGCTTCGGAGACTAATTACAAGTTTTGACTAGGTGGTATCTGGCCCCAGCGAGGATTGCTAAATATACCCCCAATTACTCTTCTGAATGCTTTCGGGGTTGTGCGATGGTAGGGATTACTTCCATGTTTGGTGGTCCTGTCCGGTTGCCCAAACCTTTTGGGCCAAAGTTTTCCATATGTTATCCCAGCATTTTGCAAAATCGATACGGACAGACCCAACTGTAGCGCTCTTAAACGTACGCCCCACCTCTATTTCCAAATCCCAATTTAAACTGCTTCTGCAAATCACTACTGCAGCTAAACAGATTATGGCCAAATCATGGAAGTCACCATCTCTATGTATGCTAGCAGTTCGAAACAAGGTTACACAAGCAATGATTCACGACAAAGTTGAGGCCACCATTTTAGATTCGGTTCCTAAGTTTCTGTTTA